AAATTTGATAATTGGTGGCTAAGTACTGAAGGTTTTGTTGACATGATCAGAGAATGGTGGTCTTCTTTCGAGTTCCCAGGGAAACCAGACTACATCTTAGCATGTAAACTTAAAGCTCTTAAAGGCAAGCTTAAGGAATGGAGCAGAAGTAGCCAGGGTAATTTGGCCTTGCAAAAGACCAATCTGCTAAGTCAAATAGCAGCTTTCGATTCAATTCAGGATATTAGAGCCTTGACGGAGGATGAATCAGTCAAGAAGACATCTCTCCTTATGGAATACGAAGAACACATAAAAAATGAAGAAATTGCATGGAGGCAAAGATCAAGGGCCCTTTGGCTTAAGGAAGGGGATAGAAATACAAAGTTCTTCCATATAACTGCTAATGCTCACAAGAGAAGCAACAACATAGACCAGTTAGTGACCCACGGTGAAACAATAGAATTGCCAGATAGAATCAAGAGTGAGATTATTGATTTTTATAAAATATTGTATACAAAGGCTGAAGGGTGGAGACCAGCGATCAATTTGGATAACTGTCCAGTAATATCTGAGGAAGAAAAGGAGTTTTGCAAGGAAGTTTTGAGGAACAAGAGGTTTTAGATTGTCTGAAGATATGTGCAGTGGATAAAGCTCCCGGACTTGATGGCTACACAATGGGCTTCTTTGTAAAGTGCTGGGATGTTTTGAAGCAGGATATTATGGCTATTTTCCGGAATTTCCACTCCCATGGAATTTTTGAAACAAGTTTCAATGCTACATACATTGCTTTGATCCCTAAGAAGACAGGAGCTAAAGAACTAAGAGATTTCAGGCCTATAAGCTTGATAGGCATTGTTTATAAGTTGTTCTCAAAGGTTTTGACAGAGAGACTCAAAAAGGTGATAGAAAAATTGGTGGACTCGCAACAAATGGCCTTCATTAAAGGAAGACAAATAATGGATGATGTTCTGATAGCTAATGAAGCTGTGGACTCTAGAATCAAACAGAAGAAGCCAGGAATTCTTTGTAAACTAGACATAGAGAAGGCTATGATCATGTCAACTGGAACTTCTTGTTGAAAATGTTAGACAGAATGGGTTTTGGGGAGAAATGGATCAAATGGATAAAACATTGCATCTCCACTGTTAGATTCTCTATTCTTATTAATGGATCTCCTGAAGGATTCTTTCCTGCACACAGAGGTTTAAGACAAGGAGACCCTCTGTCTCCTTTTCTGTTCATATTAGCAATGGAAGGTCTTAACAATATGGATAAGACAGCAAGAAGTCACGGTTGGATCAAAGGTTTTGAGGTAGCCAAAAATGGAAACAATAGTCTGGAGGTTACACATCTCCAGTATGCTGATGAAACTTATTTTTTGTGATGCAAAAAAGGAGCAACTGAGGTTCTTGAGAATTATCTTGGTACTATTTGAAGGCATTTCAGGACTCCACATCAATTGGAGAAAAAGACACTTGTTCCCCATCAATAAAGTTCCTGAAATGGAGCATCTGGCACTAATCTTGGGTGGAGAAGTAGGAAGCCTACCTTCAATTTACCTTGGTATGCCCTTGGGAGAAAATTCTAAATCTAAGCTGATTTGGAATTCTGTTATTGAAAAATGTGAAAAGAAGCTGGCTAGATGGAAATCCCAATATTTGTCTTTGGGTGGTAGACTCACCTTGATCAACTCAGTCTTAGATTCTCTTCCAACATACATGATATCCCTCTTTCCCATTCCTGCAGGGGTTACTCAGAAACTTGATAGACTTAGAAGATCCTTTCTTTGGCAAGGAAACAAAGAAAAAAGGGTTGTTCATTTGGTTAAGTGGAAATCTCTTACAATTGGCAAAGCTCATGGTGGTTTAGGCATTAGGAACCTGAAGAACCAAAACAAGGCCCTAAAGATGAAATGGTTATGGAGGTACTCACAGGAAATTGAAACCTTATGGAGCAAGGTAATCAAAGCTAAATATGGTGAGGAAGACAAGTGGGTATCAAAGGTCGTTAATACAGTATATGGAGTTAGTTTATGGAAGTCCATTAGGTCACTTTGGCCTGTGATGAAGAGTCATTCTTCCATCAGAGTAAATAATGGCAACAAAACCTCCTTTTGGAAAGATAACTGGTTGGGAGTTGGTTGTTTAAAGGAACTCTTCCCTGATTTATATGGTTTGGTTCAACATCAGCATAGAACAATAGCTGAAGTATGGACCCCCCAAGGTTGGGATCTTATATTTAGGAGGATGTTAAATGATTGGGAGGTGGCTAGGTTAACTGAGTTTTACAAACAATTGGAAGACTTTAAAGGGTTACAGAGTGGGGGGATACACTATGGTGGCAGGGACACAACAAAGGTATGTATAAGGTGAGTTCAGCCTATAAGCTCTTAAACCATTAATCAACAATTAACTAATTGGCCTTGGAAGCATATTTGGAAAGTAAAAGTTCCATATAAGGTAGTTTGTTTTACTTGGCTGCTAGCAAAGGAGGCTGTCTTGACCCAAGACAATCTCAAAAAGAAAGGGATTCCACTGTGTTCAAGGTGCTTTCTATGCGGGGAAACAGCCGAGACAATCCGCCATTTATTTCTTCAATGCACGACAACAGATCAGCTATGGAAAATCTATTTCTTCAATGCACGACAACAGATCAGCTATGGAAAATCTTTATTAATCTCAGAGGTATAGCTTGGACAATGCCTAGTAAGATTACTGAAGTGCTTTTTAGCTGGGATGAAGCTGGAGCAAGAGACAGAGATAGATGGAGGACTGTCCCAGCATGTATTTGGTGGACAATCTGGAAAGAAAGGAATTCTAGATGTTTTGAGGACAGGAGCAACTCAGTACAGAAGATCAAACTAAACTGTGTTTTACTTTTTTGTTTTTGGTGTAAGCAGAGCTACACAGAGAACACTATGTCAATCCTAGATATTCTAGAACTTTGCTAGGACTGCATAGTAGAACTTTTCTTTTCTTTTGCCTTCTTGTAAATATGGTTTCAGTACAACCTATGTACTGAGTTGATTAATATATACAAATATGTTACCATCTCAAAAAAAAATATACCTCTTTTCATCCGTCTACAGAATATTTGGCTTTATCAAAATCCCCCTTACTGCCTATACAAAACCACATAAGAGGCCACTAGTTTTGCAGTTTTAACTCCTTTACAGTATAAAATCCAAAGGCTATAAGTGATGTAAATTAATCTCCTGTATTTTAGTTGAAAAAAGCAGACAGTTCCAGAGCTTGACCTATTTGATAATACGAAGTTTATATTGGGCGGCTGTTGGTGGAATAGTGGTTTGGTGATTTCAGTCTGGATCACTCCTTTGAAATAATTGGCTCTTACAAGCTTTTCAAAGTTTTATATGAATGTCTCCAATTTTAATTACAATTTGTTCTTTCTTTTATGCAGGTAGCTATATCTTTTGGAGCTTGTGTGTACTTCCTTAATGACAAGACAAAGAGCATAGGAAGAGCTGCTCTTATAGGGTACGTTTATTGGTTCTCTCTGTTTTCATGAACAAAAAAGTTGCTGGTTTCTAAAGTCCAAACATTTTCAGATATTTCACTTTCATTATTGACTTCGACTATCACTCAGTGTGAACCTTTTTACATTTCAGGTTTGGAGCCCTAGTGGCTGGTTGGTTTTGTGGTTCACTGTTGGTTCCCATGATCCCTCCGAATCTGTTGCACCCAACTTGGAGTCTTGAACTCTTAACATCTCTCTTTATTTATGTTTCCTTGTTTCTGGGCTGTACTTTTCTCAAATGAAGCTCTACAGAACCCGTTTTGCTGTAGCAGTTTTTACATGTCACATCCTGATTAATTCATGGTGTTCCTTCAGTATTTTGTACCTTCAAGATCGTTATATTGTTATGTTGCGATAGGAAATTGTTATCGAGCTACTAGGAATTTAGTCCGAATTTGTGTCCTCGCTTTATGCTTGAATTTTCCAGTGATGTTGTAAGTGAGACACATATCTGGCTTTCTCGTTTTCCTTTCACCAAATTAAAGTAAAAATTAAGCGAGAGAAAACGTGCCTGTTACTACACCTGCTCATCCTATTGGTTCCTTCATCTTCTAAACTGGCGTTTCTCTTATCTGCAAGATCTATTTAATTGCAAATCACATTTGTTCGACATATTGACGTAGCATGTGCAGAGAGATGAAGCAATCTTGTGTCATGGTTCAATTGAAACATTTTCCTCTCATTTACCAGAGATTGTGAACTATTTTGAGTGACTGTCAGTGATTACAGTACATTTAGAGAAGATGGATATGTATTATACTTCAGTAGTGTATATAGTGTGCTTCTCCTGGCAGTGGCTTGTAAACAAAGAGTGAGGTCGCGGAGCACTTGATTATGATCGGAAGAGTTAACAGATTAAGTTTGATGTCAGATTATTATACTTCAGATTCTTTTTTCTTGTCGATTTACCAATTAAGTTTTAGTAATTTGAATCAGAAAAAATTGTGTACATTAGGTCTCTGATAGATTTTGGCAAGCTTCTTGTCGGTGGGACGTCTAATTCTAGCAGTAGGATAGCTTCTCGCTAAACATATAATAAGAGAAGAGAAGTCGGTAATAAATAATAAATACAATATCAATGTCTTATACTATAAACCAAACTTCAGTCAAACAAATAATCTTTAGGAAACTGGAAATGTGACAAACCAATATGGTTCATGGGTATGGTTTATGCCTATGGTATCCCTTTGATCTGTTGTTCCTGAGAGCGCAGCAGCCAACACAGTAAACAATGAGGACGACAAAGAAGAGGCCAAAGTTGATGAGGGACAATTTCTTCCAATCTTTCTTGATTTTGTCAAGGAATGCTGTCTTACATGATTGGCAGTTGAAGCAGAGCTCAGTTTGTACATTGCTCCATATTTTGCAGTCATCGAGAGGTTGTGAGTTCGAGTCTCCCCAAGAGCAAGGTGGGAAGTTCTTGGAGGGAAGGATGCCGGGGGTCTATTTGGAAACAGTCTCTCTACCCTAGGGTAGGGGTAAGGTCTGCGTACATACTACCCTCCCCAGACCCCACTGAGTGGGATTATACTGGGTTGTTGTTGTTGTTGTTGTCTGGTACGGCCGGCCCTGCTTTGGGCATAGTCCAGTAGGTAGCGTTGTGGAACTCTAAGCCGCAGTAAGAGGGTGGCTTACAGCAACTCGACTACATGCGCAAAAAAATAAAAACAGAGATTTAAGTTATATAGAATGATATTCAAAGTAGTAAATTTTTGTTATACTGTCTGAACTTAAAATCTTAAAACAATTATGGCATCTTCATTAGGTAATTTCTCTCTTAACTCTGATCTGATCAATGAGCAGAGCTCCTCAGACGTTGAACCAAAAATGACTTGGAGTTGGAACCGCTACGACTTCATATAAACATAAAACTCAAATGTGACAACAAAACCGAGTGGAATTAATCTTAAATGCTGTCACCCTTTTTCTCAAAACAATACATTTCAAGCCAATTTCTTTTCAAAATTTAAGAATAAATAGAAAAAAAACTAAAGTGGATATTTCCAGGATTGCTCTGTGTAGTACCTATCTCAATAAATGAGTGTATATTGCATTCTCGTCTCTTTTGATTGAATTTTTAAATGGAGATACTAAAAGTGTAGGGTTTTAGTGTGAATAGTTTATCAACAGTGGAAAGATCACAACAACTCCATTGCAGAAGGAATAATAGATGCATTTTCATCGTACTAGTACACAAAATATCCCGCATTCACGTAGTATCCGTATCCTAAGGGGTGTAATGTGGACAACCTAGTACCTACTCTAATACAAGCATTAGTGGCTGCTTCCACGGCTCGAACCCGTGACCTATAGAAACGGAGACAACCTTTACTGTTACTCCAAGGCTCCCTTCGAATGGGTGATGCATCATATGCAACATATTTACTGATAGCAATGAGATTAGCAATTTTATTTCTCTAAAAGAAATGGTGGCGTCTGGACTAAAACATCGTTTATTTTTTTATTTTTTGGTTGTACGTGTGTGTTTGGAGTTGGTTGTAAAGACAAAAAAATATTAAGAACCTGAGTAGCAGAGAGGCTATATTTGTAGAAGTCAGCGCCTTTCTCAGTAGGTAGACGTTGACAATATTTGGTATCAACCAAACAACTCTTAATCTCCTCCCAATTTTCAGCATTAAACCACATACTTCTGCAACAGGACCCAATCAATCCCAGTACCGAAACAATCAGTAGAGAAATTCCCAGTATTAACAAAGGCTTCTGAAATACTTTTTGGCAAAGTGTAGCGCTGCCTTCAAAACGGAGCCAAATTGAAAACCCTATGGCTACAAGTGAAACCGCTAGGGTCACACAATTAAGGAATGTGATTATCAAGTTGCTTACTCGGACCATCTTCCTTTCTTTATTTGGATAAATGAAATTATATATAAAAGTTGAAAAAATAACTGATAGTCTGTATGAATATATAGTACTAATACAATAACAACAACAACCCAGTATAATCCCACTTAGTGGGGTATGGGGAGGGTAGTGTACGCAGACCTTACCCCTACCCTAGGGTAGAGAGACTGTTTCCAAATAGACCCCCGGCATCCTTCCCTTATGGAGAGGGTAGTGTGTACGCAGACCTTACCCCAACCCTAGGGTAGAGAGACTATTTCCAAATAGACCCCCGACATCCTTCCCTCCAAGAACTTCCCACCTTGCTCTTGGGGAGACTCGAACTCACAACCTCTCGATTGGAAGTGGGGATTGCTTACCATCAGAGCAACCCCTCTTGTCACATCCACCTTATGGAAACTGCTACGTAACATTTCATAGTGTTCCATTTAGGGGTGTTCGTCTGTCGATACGGTACGGGTATTTAGATATTTCGGTTTGATATTTTCGGTATTCGGTTTCTTAAAATCCTATACCAATATCATACCAAATTAAATTCGGTATGGTTCGATTTTTCTCTTTTCGGTTTATTCGGTTCGGTAATTTCGGTTTGAATACTAATTAGTGCATAGAGCTATAAACTCTAATATTCTTAATTATAGTACTCAAAAATACAAAACTGAAAATGTTTGTTGACAAAAAAATTGTCCAAAACTAGCAAAATCGACCCAAACAGAGAAAATTGTACATAAAAGAATATTTGATCATTAGAAATGTCTTGTTACTTGTATAGAGTTAATTGATGAACTTAGAGAATAAAGAAAAGTAAAATTTTAGATTTTTATATTTATGTTATAATTGATAATATATGTTTTGTGTAATATAATATATATATTTCGGTACGGTATCGGTATTTCGGTATTTTATTTTAAAATACCAAATATCATACCTAATACCAATTTTTTTTTAAAACTTAAACCAAATATCATACCAAATATCAAAATACCGTATACCAAATACCAAAATTTTCGGTTTCGATACGATAATTCGGTAATTACCAACAGCCCTAGTCCCATTACCTAAAGACGACGTGGACATCACTAATTGTGGGGTCCCATTGTTAGAAAAAGGAAGGAGAAAAAAAAAAGAAGGAAAGATGGTTTGTTGTTAATCCAATGGGTTACGAAATCTAAGAGGATTTAGTAGGGTAATTAGATCCTAATCTTTTCTCTAGCTTAGAAAAGGGGCAAATGCATAGCTGATTTCAGGACTCCAATTTAAAGCATAGACGAAATTTAAATTTTTGTAAGTTTAGTCAATTTAGAATCAAGTTCAGATATACGCAATTGAAATTAAAAAAATCTCGTCTGAAAAGAATTTCAAAATTTTAATTAAATGTATTTCCAACTTTATTTACAGAACCATTTTTATGCAGTTCGCTACTCACATCTTTTGGAGCTCGCGTGTAGCGGTGTTCATAAAAACTCGAAAAATCAAATTAAACCGACCAAAAAAACCGATACTTTTTGGTTTGGTTTGGTTTTGATTTTGAATTTTAAAAATCGATCAAATTTGGTTTGGTTTTGATTTTAATCAGAAAAAATCGAACCAAACCGACTATAGGAGTAGCTATTTCAAATTTATTATTATACATACATACATATATATATATATATATATTATTATACAAAGTTTCAAAAAATTTATGGTAAATGTTAATAGTTTGCA